GTGTATTTAAACCCTGTCCTGTCTCAGTCTTGTGTCGGATCATTTTGTTTGCTGTGTTCTGTTCCCCCGTCTCTGTGATCAGCATCTGTAAGTTTGAGCTGTCTCTACAGCATTTTTTTGTTACTTTAAAATAAATTTTGGTTCTACTTTTGGAGCCTGCCTGCGCCCTGGGTCTGTTCATGCTGAATCCTCACATAAGGACTCCAAGAAGGCCAGGTTCAGCGGGTAAGCACAACCAACCGTCAGAGCGCCAGGGCCCCTGCTGTTGGCTACTGTCCATAGCATCATGCGCCCGACTCGTACGGCCCCTCCTGTAGGTGGTGTGTCCACAGAAAGGCAAACCCATGTAGCTCATTCGGGTTGAGCCTGACCAGGCCCCATGGGTAGAGCTGTGGTCACTAGGTGCTCACCAACAAGCCCCTCCTCCAGGCCTGGCTCCAAGGTGAGGCCCTGGTAACCCATGTCTGGGTGAGGGACACTGAGTTCCTTGATTTTGTATGTCCATATGARTGTTTTGAATCGTTCTTTGTCTGGTCCATCACCTATGACCTATGGCAGACCCTACCAGCTCACGACAGCATCGCTCCTAAAACCATTCAGGAGCACAAATTCCTCTACCACGATAAGGTGATGGTTCAACTCAGGAGTGACGTGGTGACAACAGAATAAGGTTAAAATGTTGACAGTCAGACACGTCCGTGTGAAAACTATGGGTCAGATCAAAGAACTTCTTGRCCAGTGAGCAGCAGGGTGTTYTGATGGTACCATGGTTCTACGGGGTTTTATAGAAATCAGTGGAAGACAATGAGAGTTTGGGACCTCTGAAAGGAAATTATCAGTCTAATGTGTCGTTAATTCCTTTGCAGGTTTAGATATTTTCCCAGATGATTTTAAGAAAAGATTCTTTGGAGCAACAGCATTCTTGGTTTCCTTGATTACCTGACTCTACACACACACCTGTCAGTAATCTGTAATCATCCCAGCTACACTAACTTCACAATCTACCAGATCAGAACTTATAGTCCAGTTCTCCTCATGTCCAGCTCTCAGACCCCCTAAAGTCTTCTRGTGCTGCCCTGTCTGTGCATTTATTGATGTTAGTTAAATGAATGTTTCAGGATTTCTCTGCCAGTCCTCCACCTGTCTGACCCTTTGAGTCTTCACACACAACCCTCACATGTTGGTTGTCAGAACACTGAGCTGCAGTCATTTCTGTTTTGATGAAAGTTGATTATCTGACTTTATGTCTCAGAACTTTTCCACTGATGTAGTAAAAGAGACAAAGTTTGTGTTGTTCTGCAGCCTAACTGCTGCTGTAAACACATCTTCCTCCCTCTGGAGAAGAAAATACCCAAAGCTGCATCGTGAAGCTGCTCAGCAGTAACCGTGGTGACCGGAGAGCGTCCCCCTCTGGTCCTGTTAGAGTCCGAGTGTCCTCACAGACCTGGTCCTCTGGGGCTCATTACTGAGAGAGGACACAGTAAACATGATGTAATCAGATGACCTTTGACCCTGAGAGCTGCTCTGACAGGAAAGAAGGAGCTGAAGATGAACAAAGGTCAACAACACAAACAGGATCAGGTTCTGACCCAGACTGAACCACTTGGTCTGCAGAGACCAGACCCTGAGGTTCCACTCCAGACCAGATCTTCTGAGTGAACATCACAAAGAGGATCAGAGACAAGAGACAGTCCTGGTGGGTTTGACTCTGTGTCGAGGACCTGGACCCAGACTTTACTGTGGTTCTACAGAGACTGGTTACCCCTCAGTCCTCCCACACACATCTACATGTCCACAGGAGACTGGGACTCCCAGGACCCAAAACCTGGTCCACTGTTCTGACATGTGGGGCTCCATGTGGGGCCCTCCCTACAGATGATCCATGTGGGGCCCTCCCTACAGGTGATCAGCTCTGTGTGGGACCCTCCCTACAGGTGATCCATGTGGGACCCTCCCTACAGATGATCCATGTGGGACCCTCCCCACAGGTGAACGGCTCCATGGACTCTAGGGGTCCCCCAATCCTTTCAGTTGTACAAATCATGTTATTTTTCCTCCACAGGAAGCAGCTCTGCAGTTTCAGTTCCTTCAGGTGGATCTGAGGTGGTCCCTTGGTTCTGATGGTGGACCTGTAGGTCTGGAACTCTGTGGGGATCTCAGCATCAGATGGAGGGTATAAAGACCAGACCCAGACCCAGACCCAGATGATGTGACCGCTCCTGGATCAAACAGCTGTATGCTSTCTGGTTTAAACAGATTGTTGTTGTTTTTCAGCTCAGATTGTTTCTCRGTGAAATATTTTCTCTCTGTTCCTGGTTTGGTTCTGGTTTTTAAATGTTTTCCTTCTTGGACCTGCTCTGTTTTTAAAGGGAAGTCATGATTCTCACTCAGCCTGAGTATTAAAGTCGTCAGCTGCCATGTGTTCTGTAAACATGAAGTTATTTATGTTAAAACAGTCCCTGTCAGTGAAAATCTGCACCTGATCCAGAACCTCCTTCAGCAACAGAACTCTCATTTAGGTTGTATGTGTTTTTCATGGTTGTGGAGGACCTTTGGCCCACTCTTCTTTCCAGCTTCGCTTCAGTTCTTCTTGTTTCTGTTCAGCTCTGAAGGTCCCACCACAGGGCTTCAGTCAGATTCAGGTTCTGGACTCTGGACTGTTGAAGAACTTTGGTTCTTTTCTGTTTGAACTGTTCTGTTGTAGATCAGCTGCTGAGTTTGGGATCATGGTTCTGTTGGACCCAGTTTGGTCTACAGAGGACTTCATGGTCCACTGTCAGCACCGAGCTGACAGGTGTGAGGAGCTGTTTTTTATTTGTTTTATTTGTTAGTTTTGTTAAATAAAATAAAGTACTGTAGGTGAGTTTTGTTCAGTCAAGATGAATTTATTGTGTAACAACAGAAGCAGAAAGAGTTCTGATAGAACAAAGTTCTGTAATCTTTCCTCCAGTGCTGTCAGCTGGGATGTTTCATCACATCAACCTGCTGTTTGCTTCTGACCAAATTAACTCCAAACATGCTGAACTCCTCCTGACACCAACAAATTTCACTCTTTTATCCAAACATTGACGTATAACATCCATGAGAGTTTTTCTTCCTGGAGTTATTTCTGCAGTTTGGTGCTGAAGAACAAGTGTGTGTCAAACACATGGCAGYTGTTTTTATCTGTGGCTGTGTCTCGTCTCTGTTTTCAGGCTGTTTKYGACTGAAGGCAGGATGAAGAACRTCTCTTCACACCAACACTTCTTCTTGGTTGGGTTTGAAGAACTCGGAGCACTGAGGCCCGTCCTCTTCCTCCCGTTCTTCCTCATGTTCCTGGTGGCGCTGGCGGCCAACTCCCTGCTGGTCTACGTCGTCTTCTCACACAGAAGCCTTCATCAACCAATGAGCATCCTCATCGCCGGCATGGCCTGCGTTGAACTCTGTCTCCCAGTATTCTTCGTCCCCAACATGCTGCTGAACTTCCTGTTTGACTGGAAGGGGATCTCTCTGATTGGCTGTTTGACTCAGATGYATTTCATTCACTTTTTCGGAGCTTTTCAGWCCACGTTCCTGGTCTGGATGGCTCTGGATCGCTACTTTGCCATCTGCACCCCTCTGTACTACCATGAAGTCATGGCTCTGCAGAGGTTTCTGAAGTTTATCCTGCCTCTTGTTGTCAGAAACGTGCTTCTCATCACTCTGTTTGTGAGTTTAGCAGGAAACCTCTGGTTCTGCTCAGAYAGAATCAATCATTGTTTCTGTGAGCACATGGCCCTGGTGGAGCTGGCCTGTGGAAGCACCACCATCAACAGCATTGTTGGTTTGATATCAATATTCTTTATTCCTGTTTTTGACTTTTTAGTTTTCACTGCCTCTTATGTGGGAATAATCATCTCTGTACTGAAGTCCAAGAAGTCMGGCATCAAAGCGCTTCACACCTGCCTCACACATGTAATTGTGATCAGTGTCAGTTTGATCATCGCACTGATTGCTTTCCTCTCGTATCGGATTAGAAACGGCCTCCCTCCAGCAGGTCGGGTCTTCTTCAGCACCATGTACCTGCTGTTCCCAAGCTGTTTCAACCCAATCATCTACGGCATCAGAACCACAGAGATCAGACAGAACATGGTAAAGACTCTGACACACTGGACTCACTTCATCCAAAGTTCTACTTTTAACAGTTGAACTAAAACCTCTCATGTAAAATACTGAAATGCACAGCGATGGGGGTAATATTTRAAAAAATGGAACTTCTACATSTTCTGCCACTTATCCATAGTMGGGTCATGGAGGCAACAGGTCCAGGAGAGAAACCCAGAACTCCCTCCCCCCAGAAACACTTTCCAGCTCGTCATGGGGGCCCTGAAGCGTTCCCAGGGCAGAGAGGATACATAATCCCTCCATAAAGTCCTGGGTCTTCCCCATGACCTCCCACCAGTGCCCAGAACACCTCTAAATGGAGGTGTCCAGGAGGCTCCTGATCAGATGAACGGCCTCAATTGACTCCTTTCGATGTGGAGGAGCAGCGGCTCCACTCCGAGCTCCTCCCCGGATGATGGAGCTCCTCACCCTGTCTCTAAGGCTGAGCCCGGCCACCCTACGAAGGTGAGGGTTGGAACGAAGACAGASCAGTAAATCCAGGGCTTTGCCRTTCAACTCGGCTCTTTCTTCACCATGACCGACCGAAGCAACACCCTCATTACTGAGGACAAGGCCCCAATCCATCGATCCGACTCCCACTCCGTCTGAGCTCAACTTTGTGACAGGAATGTGAACACAGCTCCTGTTTTGGTTCTACAGGGACTGGATCACAGTACCAAGCCCAGACACTTTGTACTCCAGCAGCCCCCACAGAATGCCCCGAGGAACACGGTCTTAAGCCTTCTCCAAGTCTACAAAACACATGTAGACCAGAGAGGCAAAGTACCATGATCCCTTTAGCAACTCTGCAAGGGTAAAGATCTGGTCCACTGTTCAAGTACAAATACTTYGTTACTGTACTTAAGTAGAAAATTTGGTTATCTGTACTTTACTTGAGTAATTATTTTTCAGCTACTTTTTACTTCTACTCCTAAACTTAAGAAGTAGAAAGTTGTTTCTCCTATTTCATTCCAGCTTAATGAAAAAAAATAATATCCTGAAAGATTGTGCCTCCTGGATRGAGTGAATTTAACTGTGGTTGGATGAGGAGTATAAGTTCAGTTCAGTTTATTTATATAGCTCCAAGTCACAACATCCGTTGTCTCAGGACACTGTACATAAAAAGAACAATCTAAAGAAGAAAGCAGCAGATTGTGTTGAATCACTTCATCACAGTCTCTGTATATGACTGATAGAGTTTTATTGGATTTATTAAACTTCTTAAGGTGTTTCAAATAAAGTCTTGAGGTACGTGACAAATTTATTATTCATCATGGCGTGTCCACAGACTGTTTAAAGCAGAGCTAGTAAGACAAAACACCTCTGTGTTGTTTTTTACTATTATTCACATATTAAACCCCAGCAACAAGTGTTTTGATTGGTCCCTCTCTTGTGACATACCACATAACTGATTTCTGATTTGTTGTAACATTGTATGACCTCATTTCTACGTGTCAGAATAAAACGACTGTTCACGCCCCCAGAGGGCAGAATTTCTCTGATCCTCACCAGGCTTTCGTCTGAGTTAAGTATCACTGAACTTCTCCTCTTTGCAAAGTGAATCTATAAATCTTACTGGTCTCTGGTGTCATTGATTAATGTTCGGCCGGGCTTGTTGTGGTTTCTCTGAGTTCCYAGGTTAAAAAACCGAACAGACACAACATTAACAGTCATCATTTCATTCCTCGGCTTTAGGAGGTCCGAGTTTACTTCCACAGCTGACTCTGCTAAAAATGACAGATGTTTTTTTTCTGGATCTCTGAGAGCAGGACTTCACTCTCTGAACTCATAAAGTTCTTTTTACTTTGCRATGTCATTTATGGATTGACACTTCCTGGTATGTGGGACAGGAAACACAGCCTTATATGGTGTTTTTAAGGTGGTAATTATGCTAATCTCTCCTCGTACACAAGCACTTGATACACATTCATCAGTTTACGCAGCTCATTTACACAGTTTTCCTGAAGATAGATGAGTTTGTTGAATCTGATGTGACACGTTGGTACAAACCCTTCATACGAACAAAAGTAAGAGAAATTTAGGATAAGAATATGAACATGTTCTTACATGAGGCCCAATCTTAGAGGAGACTTTAACTTTTACTAAAGTAATTTTATGGTAAGATACTTGTACTTTTACTCAAGTATCACTTTGAGGTACTTTATACAACACTGTAAAACACAAAAACTACTCACCTTACACGGTGGATTCCTCCCCAAATTTAATRTCTACAGGCTACACACTGAACACAAGGAGGAGGCAGAGGCCTAGTGAGCATCAGAGCCACCATCCAAGATAAAATATCCAAACTCAGATCCATCATGTCAGGCRAGATCCCAGCTGCAGGCTGTGCAAAGACGCCCCAGGAACAATCCAGCATCTCACAGCAGGGTGCRAGATACCAGCAGGGAAGGAATACATGGAACACCATTATCAGGTGGCTGGTTCTGTGCGTAGTACCAACTCAAGGTGGTGGAGAAGGACCGAGCTGAGATCCTGAGGGACTTTCAAATTCAAACAGACAAGATGGTAATGACCAACCAACCAGGCATGGTGATCACTGATATGCAGCAGTGGACAGCCCTTGTGATAGATGGAACCATCCCCAATAATGGAAACATAAGGAACAYGAGAAACTGGAGAACTGCCCAGGGCTCAGGGAGGAGCTAGAACAAGCCTGGCAGATGAAGGCCACCGTAGTGCCCATGGGCAGTGACCCTCACACTGGAGAAGTGGCTCCAACACATACGTGACCCTCACACTGGAGAAGTGGCTCCAACACATACCTGGATAAACATCTGAGAGCCTGAGCTTGAGATGAAAAGCCACCCAGGGGATGAGGGTGGGTGAGAATATAGTTTTATTTACTGTATTTATACACTGTAGATACATTGTATTTCTATACTTTATGTTTTGTTGTATATGTATCTGAGCTGAGCATTCCTTATGTGACCACGCCAGCAGATACGGGCCAATCCAGAGCCAGCAGAATGACGTGACTGCCACATGTAAAAGCATCGTCAACAAAAGAAAAGTGTTGGACATTTAAAGAAAAATGAAGAAGAAAATGTGTCATCAAACAAATAAATCGTTAAGAGGAAGTAATGTTTGTGAAATTGTGATCTAAAACATTATGATTAATTTAGTTACAGGGGCTAAAATGCTGTTGATCTGTGTTTAATGATTAACTCAGACTGTTGTGACGTGTAAATGTTATAATCTCTATAATGACTGTTGCCATGACGTCTAAGGGCTCGACACACAGGAGGTGACGTCGCTCGCTCTCCATTAATTTCCTACGGTACGTGTGTAGTGAGGCAACAATCGCTGCCCCTCCTCCAGCCAAGTGACCAGCCAAAATCCTGCATGTGAAATTTTGTGCTCACACACACACACACACACACACACACACACACACACACACACACACACACACACACACACACAC